GCCACCCATCTTCCCTAGCTAACAGCTGCCATCTGATAGCCCAAATGCTTTACTTTCCCCTTAGGGTTGAAAAGTCCAAGGTATCAGGAGAGAGGAAGGATAGGGCAGACCTCAAGCCCCAGGAGGATGGGGAAGTTGGGGTGAGGACTATACTAGACTAGTGGGAAAGATAGTAATTCTTCAGAGACCAGCCCACAACACAAAGAGAGCTGAACATTTTCGTGATCAGAGACTATGGAAACCACTGTTTTCCCATCAGCCATTGCTGCCTTTTCTCTAGGTTATTATCCACCTTTGCAAGGTCAAAAACTGAGCAGCTTCAGCTTTGGGCTTTGCTACTCTGAGTCTTTACTACCCTTATTATGAAATCAGGGTCACTGAGCATGAAATATTCTAGGGGTTTCTTAGGCAGTTTGTTCTACAGAGAGTTGCAAAGGGTTTTTCTCAAGGTTACCTTGCTAGCTGCCCTCAGAGATGAATGCACAAACATCTCCCAACTACCATCTTAGAATTCTGACAGGTAACATCAGAGGTGGTTTGGCTTCCCTGAAGCTACTTTTTGCCAGGTTTCTTGTTGTAGCTTGCTTTAAAATGTCTCTTGTGATAGTTATAACTTCCATGTAGAAAAAAAAAAAACCACCAGGTTTCGGGGAAACTTTTGAGCTGTAATTGCCTAGATCAGCCCATCTAACTTTGATAACTTACTACTCAAGTTTAAAGAACTGATTTTGCCAAACATTTCTGAAAGCAATATCAGAACATTTGATTTTAAGTATTTACATTGAAAAGCTACAATTAGCCTGGTTAAGAACCTGTGTTCAATTCCTGGCATCCACATGGCAGCTCACAACTGTCTGTAACTCCAGTTCCAGGGGATCTGACACCTTCACACAGATACACATGCAGGCAAAACAGCAGGCATTAAAAAGGAAAAAGAAAGAAAGAAAAGAAAAACTATAACCACTTCCTAGGAGATTTTAAGATACCTTTGTTGAAAGTTAAAGCATAAGGTTGACCACGGGATTTCTTTCTATCTATCTATCTATCTATCTATCTATCTATCTATCTATCTATCTATCATCTATTTGCCCATCCATCATCTATTTATTTATTTTTTCTAGACAGGGTTTCTCTGTATAGCTTTGGAGCCTGTCCTGGAACTAGCTCTGTAGACTAGGCTAGCCTTGAACTCACAGAAATCTGAGTGCTGGGATCAAAGACATGCGCCACCACCGCCCAGTGACTATGGGATTTTTAAGGTTCTGGTGTCTAGCCCTTTTCACTAACCTCACTGTTACTTTTACTTTCTTTTCAGAGTCCTGTGTTACAGTACTTGTTTTTCTTAGCCCAGATTCCCATCGCCATGTCACCATTAAGTAACAACAGCCTGTTTCTCGAATATGCAAAGAATCCTTTCCTGGATTTCCTCCAGAAAGGCCTGATGATCTCATTGTCGACCGATGACCCGATGCAATTCCACTTCACCAAGGTACACAGAGGCTTGAGCAATGCAAGTGTGCTTTGCTGAGCTATCATTCCCCACCCAGAAACTGAGAGGCAAATCAAGGCGCTTCTTTATCCTCGTTATGTAGGATGTGCACTGTTTCTGGTACTAATGCACCCCTCTGCTTACTTACATAAATAACTACAGGAACCCCTGATGGAGGAATATGCCATCGCGGCCCAAGTCTTCAAGCTGAGCACCTGTGACATGTGTGAGGTGGCAAGGAACAGTGTTCTGCAGTGTGGAATTTCTCACGAGGTAGACGTGATGGTGGCTGACTGCCCTTCTGAGAATTGGGTCTAGCAATCTAAACATTGAAAAATTGGTGGAGTGAGGAAATACAGGCAGAGAAACTGTTGCACAAGCCACATACAGTTGCTACGGCTAGGGACTAGGAAAGCCTGGGGCTTGGGATATAGCTCAGTGGTAGGGTACCAGCCTGTGAGGCTCTGATATGAATCCCTACTGGGTTATATTCTCTGGCCATGTCTCTCAGGAAATAATATACATTTGATTTCTCAGGAAATATGCACACAAGGCACTAAATGAAGTTTTTCCTTTTGTTTATGAGTAATGTGAAGATTATGGCGGAGGAGGCAATCGCTGTCTATACCAGTATGAAAAGAGACATTGAGTATTCTCTCATTGTCTTACAGGAAAAAACAAAATTTCTGGGCAAAAATTACCTTGAGGAAGGCCCTGTTGGAAATGATATCCGGAGGACAAATGTTGCTCAAATTCGCATGGCTTATCGTTATGAAACTTGGTGTTACGAACTCAATTTAATTGCCGAGGGTCTTAAACCAACAGAATAAATGAAGTAAATAAACTGAATAACACTGAGTGAGATTTTCCTTCCTTTTTCTTTTTTCTTGGAGTTAAAACACTTTATTCAGAGACTTGGGAAAAGGCTGGGGGGGGGGTTCAGACAGTCTGCTGTCCTCCACTGGGCAGATCTTGAGTCTACCCATCGCTAAGAGCGGGATTTTCATTGAGTGTGAATCCTATAGTACTAATTATTGAGACTCTTAAAATAATCCAAGCTTTGTATTAAGTGCTTCACTGATATCTCATTTACTCAGTTCTTTTGTATAGTAGATATAATTTCTATTTGGGGGGGATAATGAGCAAATGTAAGTTAGGTAGATAATGTCCTCAAGATAGTCTTCGTGAGGGGCAGCAGCAGGACTTAAGTTTGTGTCTCCAGTGCCTACTTGACTTTCAGGCAGGACAGTTATCAGAGGTAGCCAAGGACTCAATTCTGAGAGAAGATGGGTTTTGGGACTAAAGAAACAGAACAGTTAAGACACCTGGATCCATTTTAAAGTGTTGTTTTTTTTTTCATTTTGTTTTGTTTTGTTTAACAAAGCTTAAGTCAATAGGGGCTTTCTAAGGCAAGGTAAGACCAGTTATATGAAAGATTAGAAAATTGGCATTTGTGAGTAGTAGTGAGGGAAGATTTATTCTGGCAAGGGATTCTAGGCTTGCTGAAGCAGGAGAACTAATGGGACTTGTTAGAAATATGCCTGCTAGGTAGTGTCTCAGACCTTCAGTCCCAGCACTCAGGAGTTAGAGGCAGGAAGATCTCTGTGAGTTCAAACAAGCCTGGTCTACATAATGAATTTCAGGAGAGCCAAAGCCACATAGTGAGACTCTGTCTACAGAGAAAGAGAGAGACAGAGTGAGAGAGAGGCAGAGATAGACAGAGACAAGGCTAGAGATGCCAGGTACTTCAGGTCAGCTGATGCTTCAATCACCCAGATTACACTGTTCACACACAGCTGTATTGCCATCTAGTGGTTAGGTTGATATTTCACTGTTTATTTTTTTAAAAAGTGGCTATAGATCAAATGTAAACTATCTGATACCATCTTAGATACCAAAAGCAGAAAGATGATTTTCATTCTGTTTTCAAGTTGTTCACCCTTGAGGCTACAAGATGTGTGAAAGAGAGAACTCCTCAGACATCTCAGGATGTAATGAGAGCAAATTCCTGGTGTTTCATTTTCTGCACAGGTAGCCGTGAGCTTAGGTGTGTCTCTTGGGACATGTTTGTACTAGCTGTGATGTGAGACTCCTCTTCCTAGTTTCTCAAGTCAAAAATTCTGTTTGATGAGTATTTATTTGTCAAGAACCTGATTTTACGTTGGCTTCCTAGTCACCAAAATAATACAAATCACTAAAATTATTCTCAGACTTAAACAGTAGCATGGCATTTAACTTAGCTCTAGCTCCATCTTACCCATCTTGGAATCCCAGTCTCTTCCATTCTGCTAGAGAATCTTCCTGGATGCAAAGTTCAAAACATAAGTTTCAAAAATACTGTTTCAGTCCCAAATTTCATCTTGTAAAATTCACCTGGAATACTTTCCAAACAGATTAAAAACCTGTTGTGATGGCTCATGCCTGTGCTGGCATTCCGGAAGCAGGGGTAGGAGAATAGAAGTTTGAGGCAGGCCAGCCTGGGCTACACTGTTAGACCCGGTCTATAAAAAATATCACACACACACACACACACACACACACACACACACACACACACACACACACTTTAGGTAAGGGAGCAATGGCGTTCATCAAGACCAGTGTCTACAATTTATTCCAAACAATTTTTTTTCCTCACTAGAGCCTTTTTTTCCCTCACTAGTTTCTTTTTAAAGGAACTGTCATTACTTCTCCCTCACTATAGAAAGTAATTCTTTTATTGTCCCTACCTCATGGCTTTATAACAGATTGGGACATGCTGCATTTTTTTGTCTTGATTAAATTGGCTGGTGACAGTCATCTGTGATGTGTAATCAAACACCTCTCTGTGGCCGTCTTCTATTTTGGTACCTCTGTGTGAACAAGCGAGGGAAACTTGGTTACCAGACACAAGGTCGGATGGGGTGGGTGGGGTGGCGTGGGGTGGGGCAGTTAGATAGTGCTGGGAACTAGGCTCCACTCATCCCAGTCTCGCAGAGTGAAACTAGGCTACTCCTGCAGCAGGCACAGAGCCATGTGCATACTTGAGCAAGATCGTGTTGCAGGCGGGAGCGTTTAAGCGTGAGTCTCAACCGGGTGTGGCGACCGGGTCGGCACCTGGAGTGGGCACCAAAGGCATCTGGCTCGGGATTCCAAACGTGGGGCCAGGTGCGTTATTGGCATCTCTCCACTAACTAACATTCCCAATGTTTGTTCCCTGAACTGCTTTATGATTTTCTTAAAGGAGGTGCTGTTTGGCTCTGGATTCACCTAGGCTCTCCCTCACAGGGCGGATTCGTCGCGTGGGGTCGGTCCGACAGCAGAAGCGGAAATAGACAGGCCTGGGCTGAGGTCGCAGCGTGGAGCCAACAAGCACTCTGGCTCACCAGAGCCGGGGGCGGAGAGTCGGCCGGGTGTGGGTTCTGGGCGGTAGGAAGAGACCTGGGAGGGGCGGAGCCTACTGGGTGGGCTTGGGGGCGTGACCAGACCGAGAAAGGGGCGTGTCTCAGGGCGGGGACTGCGGACTTGCGGGGGCGGGACGAAGAGGCGAGAGCTGGATCCCCAGGGCCACAGACAGCGAGTCTCCTATCCCTGCGGGAAGCGGCGTGGCGGCCCAGGCAGGTAGGCGACGGGATGCGGCCGGGCAGTGAGGCAGTGGGGCCCCGGTCGCTCAGCTGTTGACATCGCCCCAGGGGCGCCCCGCGTGTCCGTGGTCGGCCGGGAGCTGGGCACTTCGGGTCAAGGGAAGGCGGGTGTCAGCATGCGTGCGAGCCGCAGGCGCGGTCGGGGGCGCGGGGCGCGGGGCGAGGGGCGCGGGGCGAGGGGCCCGGGTGCTCGCCGCCTGGAGGAAACGCGCCTTTCAGGCGGTCTTGAACTTGGACGTGCCCGGACGGGGCACTTCAAACAGCGGTAAAGCGAGTATGCGCGCTCTTTGCCTCCAAACAGCCTGACAAGCTCAATAGTGGAAGTCGTCAAATAGTTTTTTGAAGGTAAAAATCCAAGAGTGGAACTGGAAGTACGACTGTGGAGTAACCAGGAGAGAAGACGATGATTTGATTATGAGTCAAAAGGCTCCGCTCTGGAGCTCAGACCCACAAACAAAAAGTCACACCTCTGCCAGGGTAACTCTTCCTGGCTTGTTTCCCCTAAGTGTAAAATTGGGACGCCCATGGGTGTTCTCACGGTCAAAGGAGATGAGTGACAGCGTCCTGCAAATGTCAGTTATTGTTGTTTGATACACATGCGTCCTGTGTATACTCTGTACAGCTACTAAATGCCTAGCACACAGTAGGAGCTCTATAAACCTTTATCTCAAAACTACTGGTTCGCCTAAATATGTTAGATAAAGTCCTAACTTCTCTCTACTATGTAAATAAGTTATTTGAACCTCTTTTCCACACAATCACCATTGTTTGAAGCGGATCTATTCTTAACTGAGTCATGAACTTTTCTAAAATAGCATACTATCTGAATACTGTTGTGGAATCATTTGCCATGAAGTTTGTACCAATCAGAGAATCTTTTATTCGGCCTTAGATAAGTAGTCACAACTAAAGATATCTGATAAACCGAACTGAGTGTATTTCTTCAAAGCAAGACTTCCACTTTTTTTTGTAAATTGAGGGGCCGCTTTGTAGGAGGATGTGAGTCCTCTGAAACAGTTACTATGTGGCTGTGGGTTTCATACAGTTTTTATTATAGACATTTGTGTCCTTTACTTATGGGTGTGTGCGTATGAATTTTAGGGGGAAATGGGAAATTAAAGAAGAATATCAATCTGTAGCCAGAAGAGCTGGGCGTTGGTGGCGCACACCTTTAATCCCAGCACTCGGGAGGCAGAGGCAGGCGGATCTCTGTGAGTTCGAGACCAGCCTGGACTACCAAGTGAGTTCCAGGACAGCCTCCAAAGCCACAGAGAAACCCTGTCTCGAAAAACCAAAAAAAAAAAAAAAAAAAATCTGTAGCCAGAAGGTTTCTACCAGGGATACTTAGGGTGATCTGGAGTCATTTCAAAGGCAGAAACCAGGAACTGTAGTAATTGTGTCGCATGGCCTTTCATTAGCCTGTAGAATGTGGCAATAAACTTTTCTTAGATGCAGAAATATCAGTGGTTTTGATTGAGAGCAGTAGGCAGTCTCTTTCCTTTTATTTAAAATTTAAAATTAGGGATGTGGATGTAGCTGTTGATGGTATATTTGCCTACCATGCAGAGTCCTAGGTTCAATCCCAGTATTTCCTAAACTGGGTGTGGTGGTTCACACCTGCCACCCCAGCATAAGAGACATGCAAGCTGGAGTTCAGAAGTTCCAGATCACTCCTGACTACGTAGTGAGTTTGAGGCCAGCCTGAGGTACATGTGACCCCATAACAAAGAGAAACAAAGTCAAAAATTGCTCATGTTACAGGGCTAGAAAGATGTCTTGGGGGGTAAGGACACTTGCTACCTGGGTTCAATCCCTGGGCACTGTAGAAGGAGAGAACCAGCTCATGCAGATTGTCCTTTGACCTCCAAATATGTCCCAACACATTGCCCCCCCAAATTAAAAAATATAATAAAATGCATTTATGTGTGTGGGCACACAGGTCACACACACAGGGTGCATGTATGGAGGTCCGAAGACAATTTGTGATCTTAATGTTCTCCTTCCATCTATGGATTGAATTTAGGCTCAGTGGCAAGTACCCTTACCTGCTGAGCTTTTTTTGTTTGTTTTGTTTTGTTTTGTTTTCCGAGACAAGGTTTCTCTGTAGTTTTGGAGGCTGTACCTGGAACTAGTCTTGTAGACCAGGCTGGTCTCAAACTCACAGAGATCCGCCTGCCTCTGCCTCCCAAGTGCTGAGATTAAAGGTGTGTGCCACCAACGCCTGGCTCCTGCTGAGCTATTTTTATTGGCCCTTTTCTCTTGTTTTGTAGGATGAAACTAGGGTCTTGTGACTACTATACAAGTATTCTACCATTGAGCCACAGACTCAGCCCCAGCTGAAAATCATATTACTTTTAATTGATCTGTAGTGATCTTTTTGTTGAAGGCAAGGATTTTTTAAAAAGATTTTTATTTATTATGTATACACCACTTCATGTATGCCTGCAGGCCAGAAGAGGCCACCAGATCTCATTACAGATGGTTGTGAGCCACCATGTGGTTGCTGGGAATTGAACTCAGGACCTCTGGAAGAGCAGCCAGTGCTCTTAACCTCTGAGCCATCTCTCCAGCCCGAAGGCAAGGATTTTTTTTTTTTTTTTTTGGTTTTATGAGACAGGGTTTCTCTGTATTGTTTTGGAGGCTGTCAGTCCAGCCCGGCCTCTGCCTCCCGAGTGCTGGGATTAAAGGCGTGCGCCACTACCGCCCGGCCAAAGGCAAGGATTTTAAAGTACTGAATACCACAGGGGAATTAAGTGGAGGACTAGAAGGGAAATTACTAGTAAATAATTTTGTGCCTTGTTAAGAGTTTTATTTGTAAGACTGGAGAAAAGACCCAGTGGTTAGGAACACTTGCTGCTCTTCCAGAGGACCTGAGTTCAATTCCTAGCATCCATGTCGGGTAGTTTACAACTGCCTATAACTCCAGCTTCATGGGATCTGATATACTCTTTTGTCTTCCAAGGACAACTGCATATATGCAACATATGCGCACATAGACATATGTCCATAAAAATAAATCTTTAGCTTAGTGTAATGGTGTGTGCCTTTAATCTCATCACATGGCCTACATAGTGAGTTTCAGGCTAACCAAGCTATATGGTGAGATCCTGTTTTTAAAAAAAAACTTAGAGAAAAAGTTTTATTTAAACATTTTCAACAATTTAGTGAGAGAATAGTTTTTTGAGACAGGGTTTCTCTGTGGCTTTGGAGCCTGTCCTGGAACTAGTCTTGTAGATCAGGCTGGTCTCAAACTCACAGAGATTCGCCTGCCTCTGCCTCCCAAGTGCTGGAATCGGAGGTGTGTGCCACCACTACCTGACTGAGAATAGGTGTTTTGAAACTTTTTTTTTTTGATACAGGCTCTTGCTATATAATCCACCTTGGCCTTTAACTCACTATGTAGCTCAGACTAGTTTCAAACATGCATTAATTCTATCTAGCTCTGAGAACTAGGATTGTGGTGTTTGTCACTATGCTTGTCTAAAAGCCAACTTTTTAAAGTTTTTAAAACTACTTTAAAAACCAACTTTAAATATGTTTTGCATAATGAATTCACTGAAAATTGATTTGTTGACCTTACAGGTCTAACTAACCCCTTATATTGGTCCTACTTATTGAGCAACTATCTTAAGGCATAGTTTAGAACCTACATTGTAGGTATGCATGGGAAGGATGCACTCCTACCTAGGAGAGTATGTGCTCCTTCTGCTGAGTGGGCTACATAAGTACTGAGAAGCTATTTGGAAAGCTCAGTGCAGGCAGTGTCCTGAATTCATTTCACACATTAGCTATTTAGTCCTCGTAAGAGGCACCGCAGAGGGACGCTGAGAAGCATAGAGAAACTGAGTAACCCGCCTGCCACCAATTCAAGTAGTAGAGGTGTCAGCCTGCCAGACTGCAATAACACTGAGCTCAGCTCTCAATCTCTGCTTTACATTGAGTTTCAAATTCTCTAAGACACAGACACATGGGGTGGGGGAGGGAAGGAGGAGGAGGGTCAGACAGAAAAACTGGTATTACAAGATAGAGAGGCATGTCCAAGCTACAATTTAATTATACTTTGTATGTAAAACTTTTTTTTTCTTCTTGTTTTTAAACTGCCAGCCACTTAGGGCATTATCTTAGCAATATAAGATGTGTCTATTTTTCAATAAGAGGTTTAAAATACCTGTTGTCAAACCATGACTTAAATGTTAGATGCAAGAGGAGACATGTACCAGGTATGGTGGATATACCTGTAGTCCCATGAAATTTAGTAGACTTGTTTAGACTAAGATGGGAAATCTGTCCCCAAACAAAACAATAAACAAATAAAGCCACTATAGTTTTAGTATGATAATAGAGGTAAAAACAGAGTTTAATGGAAACAATGATGAGAAACAGTTATTCTGCTTGTCATAGGGAGGAGGCCGTCGAAAATGTTGAATCAAACCACATTTGAATTTGATTTTGGAGGATGATCGGGAGTTTGCCGAGCTGTGGGAAAGTATGAATGAGAGCAGAAACCTGTGTGACTCTTTGGCAAATTTGAGAAATGTGTTCTACTTACTAAAGTCAGAGGTACAGAGGTGGGTGGTTGGACTAAAAATAATCTAGAAAAAGAAAATTACAGAGCACGGTTGTTTGTTACATTAGATCACTGCAATTGCTAGGTAAGTGTGGGGGGTTAGGTCCCCTGACTTGGAATAAAGAAATAAGTGATTGAGTTCAGCTCAACAAAATCTTTCGCTATAGAATATGGTATTGAAAGTATTTTTAAGACTTTGAAGTAGCATATATTTTTAACAAATACCTTGTGTAAAGCTATGATTTGGGGGGAAATGAGTCTGTTGACACCAGTTATTGGAGAGAATCTGTGTGTAAGGACTTTGCGACTGAATCTAGAGACAACGGGGAGCCAGAGAAGGGTTGGAAGTAATTAGACAAGATCACAAAGTGACAGTTCTGTGTGGGGCTGGATTGCATAAGGACAGGCAG